GCTAATCGGTGGAGCATTCGAGTCTTCAAATGATGAGTTCTCCTTATCCTTTCTTAGTTTAACATTCAATTAAAAATGTATTAAATTTTTTTCAGAAAAGTTCATCAATGAGAATGGCGGCGATGAAGCGGAATATATAGCTGCATCGATGTGGTTTTTCCAATTTGCCAATAACCGCATGTAATTGAAAGAACGCAACAAGATGTAATAATTAACTTTTTTATGCTTAATTTTTGTGTGTTATCGTGAATTTGTATGCTAAAATGTCTATTCCCTATTCATATTTTCGCGACTGTAGATGAGTCTGCCGAAAATTGGCATTTCGTTTAGTTTCTAGATGTTAAGCAATCTATGTACGAGTTTTTAATGAAATATCTTTAAATAAAGGGTTATAAAAATGTTTATAAAAAGCTTTCTTTTGAAAATTTTTAGTAAGTTTACATTCATACGCTTATAAACGACTTTTTTTGAACCTTTATTATAAGTTTACACTTTTACGCTTATAAAAAGCTTTCTTTTGAACATTTATTACAAGTTTATATTTCTACGCTTATAACCAAGGAACGGATTTTTAGGACCTAAAAACCTATAAAAAAGGCAAAATAAAGTAACGAAATAGGCTGGAAAAGGCAAAATAAAATAGCGAAAAAGGCAGGAAAAGGCACTAGGTATTGCAAAAAAGGCAAAAAAAAAGGCAAAACAACATAGCGAAAAAGGCAGGCAAAGGCAAAAAAAAGGTTTTGCAAAAAAAGCAAAATAAGGCACTAAAAAAAGACAGAAAATACGAAGAACATTAAAAAAATAAATTTATTTTAGAAATGCTTATATTACAAGTAAAAAGTGAAAAACTATGAACTAGTTTCATTATATGAAAAATTTGTACTTTGAATCTTTGACTATTTTATCCTTTCGAGTTTCTAACTCATAAAACTTTAATCTGTATAGTTGTAATAACATTGAACCACAAGATGCATTTTGAAGTTTTCTGGCAGCATTTTCATTCGATTTTCGCGAAGAAAAGCCGTGAATGTACTAAATGTGCGCTCGACGTAAGTTGATACAAGTGAAGCCCAATTTAAATATGGAACGTTTGAAACGTTCATATTATCAGAAATAAGAGCGCTTTCCTCGCCCTTTACAATTTTATTTTATTATTTTTGAATTTTTTCAACACCAATTTGGCAAGAGGTCCCTGTGCTTCTACACTGAGGGAAATAATGCATAGTAAAAAAGAATACTTTATATTTGATTATCGTTTAAAAATGCTCGAATTTAAAAATAATATTTTCATACACTGACTGTATGAGTGTACATACGCACCCCAGGCATGCTGAGCGCCGCTCTGAGAGCATACATAGTACATGTTTATCCGTTCAAATCAATCCGTTGAAACCAAATTTATATGCCTGGGTGTAGCTGAGTGCGCAAAGACGCATGCCACAATTTGTTGATATCCAGAGATGGTCAGGGTTCGAATTCCACTGCAGGCAACATGCAAGTTAAACATTTTTTTTTTAGTTTTTGCCTTGATTATTCACTTCACGGATGCTTTTTCAGAACGAACGCGGTCATTTTAATATGCCAATATTTACCAATATACAGTACTTTCGTTGACGTTTATAGTAAGATCAATTAGGTTTCTATTTGATTTTAATATTTTTTTCCCTCCGTGTATAAGCCGAATGGGCATGTGAATATTTTTTAATCTTAAAAAAAAAAAATTGTAAGTGCTATAATCACTTTTTTAAAGGTAGAAAAGGCAAATATCTTAAAAAAGGCAAAAAAAAGGCAAATATCTTAAAAAAGGCAAAAAAAGGCAACTTCAAATGTGTATATATGGAATCAGGGAAAGCTAAATCGTGGACATTCTTAATCGAATATACCCTATCTCTTTAGCAGAAAAAAAGGCTATTTCCATAAAATCCGTTCCCTGCTTATAACCAATGTTCCTTTTCGATTATATTACGCATACTTTCAAGCGCTTTATAAACAAAAAGTCAACGTTTTGTGAGCTTAATGTTTATAATTGAAAACTTAAAAAAAACTTTTTTTAAGTTTATTTTGCTTGTTGGGAAGGATCACTTAATGTTCCTTCATACTATGTGTGTATTGAGTATATGTACATTAGGGTGGGTAAGTTTGAATGCGAGATTTTTCTGTGGTTAGAGTTTAGGAGTATTCTAAGTGAAATTTATACACCATCTGCCGAAAGTGAAAGAGAAACGTCCGGATATTTTAAGAAAAAGAAATGGTTGACGCATACATAAAACCTCCTTAAAGTTTGCACATATTTATAAAAAAAAACAGTTATTAACGACAGTACAGAAAAATAATATGTTCCTAAGGAAAAATCCTATTTTCGCAAATTTCGCTCAAACTTGATTTTAGACGCATGGTTTGTTCGAAAAATTTTCTTAGGATTTCAGGTAAAATTCCAAAAAATTTACCCAGCCTAATGTACATACATATATATTAGACTGCATCACCAAATGTTGCGGTTTTTCCGCCGAGATTACCAATTTTTTTATATTTGATCCAAAATATTTCGGAAAAATATTAGGTGCAATCCCGTATTCCTCGGACTAAAACTCGTAAAACAGTCAAAAAATAAAAACTCGCTCAGAGCGAGAGAGTAACAATGAAAAGTACGGGATCGCGTTCTAGTAAAAAATGGCAACTTCTGTCAACTTCAACATCACCTTCAAATTTTGATTGTAAATTTTTGCTTATTTTCTATGTAAACACTGCTGGAGCTACATGACTCTTAACTAAAAATACTCTTAACATAAAGTAGGAGAGTGCACTTTTTCTTTTGTTTACAATTTGGTTGCCAAACACACTACAGCTGATCGTTTGACATATTTACCAGAATTTACCAGCAAAAAACCTTCGGACTAAAACTGGTAACTTCTGACAGAGAGAGGACCTTATTTACTCTCTCCCTCTCAATAGTCAGGGAACCGAGTACGGAATCAATTTCCAGTAAGATATGACTGATTATGACTATTTCTGACTAGTCCGGACCCGTACGGGATCGCAACTATTAAGATTTACGTGAGCTGGACCGATTTGAAAATACCTCCAAAAATAGAGTTTTCTATGAATAAAAAATCCCCTCAGATAACAAAGCAGATTAAGCTTAAAAAATCTGCTTAAAAATATTTAAAAATCTTTTCAACGGAATTATAATAATGAGATTTTTGATGCTGTTTTTTAACCTTTTTCAAAGATTGATTTACAAAAAACTTGAATAACTGGGCCGAAACTATTCTGATTTAGACTTATGGGGTCTCACTCTTTTTATTTCTGTGCAAAAAAACTCATTCGCGTCCCAATTTTATTTTTTTTTTCAAATACCAACACATCTTAATTCAACCTGGAATGACGTTCGTTCATCCTACCTTTCTCTTTCATGCTTTTAATGAGTTCATTAGCAAAGAAATAAAAAGGATGAGAAAATAGCTTTCTACTGATACCTCACAAGGCTAAATCGGAACAGTTTGGTTTCAGTTATTCAAGTTTTTCTTATACAAATCTTTGAAAAAAGTTAAAAAACCGCCTCAAAAATCTCATTCCGATTCCGTTGAAAACTTTTGAAAATATTTTTATGCAAATTTTTTTTAGCTTAAATCGTTTTGTCGTTTGAATATTTTGTTCTTTTAATTTTTATCAAACTATTTTGATTCATAAAAAACTCCATTTTTGGAGGTATTTTCAAATCGGTCCAGTTCACGTAAATCGTAATATATTTTCGAAATATTTTGGTGGAAGTCTTAAAATGTATTAGATTTTATAATTCGAATGGAAAAATCTGTACGGTGTAGATTTTTTTGTATGGGGAGTGATTCAGTCTAGTATTTATATGTATATACAAATTAGTCACACAACCAACATAGCAAAGTTCTTTAAGGTACTAATAAAGACGTTGTAATAATGATTACAAATGAATATAGTTGAGTATATAGCTACGTTAGTAGCTATATTTGCAAATTTTTAGTATTCGAATCATCTGCCCAGAACTGCGTAAGCCAAACAATTCTTATTATGTGTACCTGTTCCCGCTGCTGACATTCATTCAACCCAGTTATTAGTTGAACAAACATTGCAGATTACATTTAACAAATTCTCAGCAAATAAATATTTGCCTAGTCCATTTTAAAGTATTTATGTATGTACATACCTACTGCCTAGTTAGTACAACTGTCAGCGGGAACCAACCGACAAGCAAACATATTTTCCGCCCATAAAAATTATCACTGCATTGTGTAGTGATGGACGTGCTGATAAATATTTGATTTTCATCAACCGAGTCTAGATTTGCGGCCATGTGCCATTTTAACCCTCCACGAACAATAAGAAATCAGTTATAATAGCAGCTTGTAAGAAAACACGTAATCTCTTAATTTGTTTGTGTTATTTAGATTCACAAATGGCGAACATGTCTCACACTATCATCAGCATAACTTCACCTGTGTGGATTGGAAGCGTGCACCCGAAGCGGCGGCGGGTAATTGCACGCGTTATGGACGTTATGGTGCGCTACGTTGCTATGGTGGCATAAATAATATAGCCACAATACCGTAAGTGAGACAATCTAAAATTTGCTTGCGTTTCTTTTAATTCAACTATTGGTTCTATTTCTATTTTTAAACTTTTACGATTTTCCCTCCCCAAATACAGCGAGCAAAAAGTGCGTCGTTTAGAGGAGATCATTTTCTGTGGCTGGCCAGAGCGCGTCTTTAATCCGCTCATTGATCTGCAGCCATTTCCGAAAATACGCTCGCTTATAATCGAATACAGTAATTTAACCGAAATCACCTTCGATTTTCCCGAAATGTTTTATTTACAGGTGATTTTTTGTTTCCAAACCTGCGGCAAGCGTTTAGTTATTTGTATTTATGTACATTTTTTATATCCCTCCCTCAGACTATCAACATATCCTGGACGAATCTTTCACACATAAACACTCGCGCTTTCAAGCGTGTTCACGACTTGCGTGTCGTCGATCTACGTTGGAATAAGTTGGTGCAGCTGGATGGCCCTCTCTTGCTGCCGCGCTACTTTGAAAAGCTCTACTTAGCTGGCAAGTATCCAGCGGTTTCTCTAATGGCAGATGTGTTCTGTCATATTTTAATATTCATTAGTTCTTTCATAGGTAATCCGTGGAACTGCACGCGTAATTTCAAATGGCTTTTGATACCTGAAAAGGGCGCCATGGTCGCTGATCGTGATGAGATTATATGCGCCGATAAGAAGTATAAGGAGCGTCATATGTTGACTGTGATGAATTATAAAGTGGTAAGTTGGAAATTAGGCATACTTCTCGGGAGATATTTTTTAAATGGCAGACTTAAGGAATAATTTGGGCTAAACATTTAATTGTGAAAAAATTCGTTCGAAGAAAAAAGATAATGTAATCTTCAGATTTTTACCAAAAGGCGTGAGTACTAGATACTCATGAAATTTGATATATAAATATCGGTGTACGGCTTGGCAAACCATCAGGTCATTCAGTTACATACATACATACATAGGTTAGGTTAGAAATAAACCATCACTTTCGTTTCATTTTATTCATTTGGTCGAGAACAGTACACGACTTTTTCATACCCACTCCGGGGATATTTCCGGACTATTTCAATCTCATTTCATGCCTAGTGTCGCGCTACCCCAAAACGATCCTGAACTAGTCCCATAACTTACCCTGAAATGGTCAAGAACTAGTCGTGAAGTGGTCCTGAAATAGCTCTGAAATGGTTTGAAATAGTCCTGAACAGACCCAAAAAAGGTCAAAATGGTCGTGAACTTATATTGAAAGAATCTCCCACAAGCCTTGAAACGGAATGGTCCCATATTGCTCCCAAAATGATCAAAAACTCGTCCTAAAATGGTCCTGAGAAGCTGTTTTTCATCGCAGAAATACACTCGGAGGTTTCCAATTGCCTGCCTTTTTTATTATTTGATGTTGGAAACCGAGCATGAGCCCAGGCCCTGCGTAATGGTTGGTAACCACTACACCACAGCGGACATAAAATAGTTTAGTAAAAAAGAGAAAAGGTTGAACCTTTACGTACTCGTAATGTAATGGCTAAATTTTTCATCTCGAAAATATCAGCAAGAAGAATCGAAACACTCCATGATCTAATTAGCGTTTACCCAAGAGGCATCAAGAGATTCTTTAACAATAGAAGACCTGCAGCGAAATTAACGAATATTCCTCTTTTCCTAGTAATAGAGAGTCTGCAGTAGATTTTTTGCAACGAAAAGATTTTCTTAATAAAAGTCATACGCGACTCAGATCACTTTTTAGTCATTCTCTTTCATATACGCCTTTTGAGTTTCTAAAATAAACAACTTCTCCTTCCTTCTCTACAATAGATGCTCCGCTCAGAATGTCAATCTCATGAGGATTTACAAAATTGTACCTGCACAATGCATCATATCATTCCGAAAACTCACATACCGCTTTATACCATCAACTGTAGTAATTTAGAATTTCAAGCGATGCCCAACTATATTCCTGAAAATACAACAACAGTATATCTGAATGATAATGAGGTAAGTAAAGTAAGCATATGACTACGATAATTTAGGTTAAAAATTTAATTTACAGGAAGTATTCAGGCGAATGTTGCAATTCACTCCCGAGTGAATTTCAACCAAAGCCACTTTGAATTCAAATTGAATGGGGTTGAAATTCACTTGGAAGTGAATTGCAGAACCCGCCTTATTATGTCGAATTTCCACGAGGCTTTTAATTACACAAACTTTAAAAACAAGTTTTGGCATAAAATAATACCGGTGCCACTACGTCCTTTAGTCCTTTTCCACGTGACATTTTCTAAATTACACCGATTTTTTGTCGGTCAATGCCTACTGGAAATTCGGAATTACCGATCATTTGAATAGCTTAAGATGGATTTCGCCTGAACCTTAAATTTAATTATAAAGATCCAAATGAAGTCTACAGTGAAAATACGGGTCAAATTTAGTCATCTGGCGATTTTTTATAAGGCTGGATTCATAAATCTTAATTTGCCGTATTCCGCCATCCTAAAAACAAGAGGATATGCTTTTTTAGTACAATGGACCAGCCTTGAAAAAAAATCGTCAGATATTCTTAAATGGACTTGTATATATTATAGAATAATATACAATTATAACTATTGCCTTTCTGTTCTTAATTTATGTAGTAGGGTTTAATTACTTTCTTGCAGATCACCGATGTACTTCCATTGCGCAACAATCCCACTTATCGCCATGTGGTGGATGTACATTTGGACAACAATCGCATAGAGAGCATCGATGTGCTAGAGGGCGGCTATTGGTTCGAGCACTTTCGCTTGCTTAGCCTGCGCGGTAATAAGCTGCAAAAGGTAATAGCAACAAACAAATATAAAAACTAGTTCATAATACTTTCATTCATATTTTTTTCCCCCTTTCGCAGATGCCCGTCTATGCGCTTGATAACGCGCTCGACGACAACCCAAATGCGAATCTGTTACTACTCAGCGGCAATCCCTGGCAATGTACTTGTATCTTCACAATGCGCTTCCGCGAGATACTCATGAAATATATTGAAATTATGCGTGATGCTCTTAATATCACGTGCACCTACAAGCATATTAGTCCAATGCGACGTGCGAATGTGCTCGCGATTACGCGTGAGGACGTCTGCAAACCGGAGGAAGAGCCTAAAATTTATCCACTGGATTTACTAAATGGTGTTTTGGCCTTTCTGATAGTCTTTATACTAAGCAAATTGGCTTACGACTATTATCACTATAAGAACTATGGACGTGTGCCTTGGATTGTAATGAAGTTGCCATAAATGATCTGGACTTGTTTAGGGAATGTATGAATCCTGTGAAACATAGAAAATCTCTCTGTTGTGATTGATCGCAGTGTTGTATTGTTGTGTACTTAATTAAGTTAAGTTAGATTTAACAGCCTAATTCATAGTCAATCTTAAGTTTTGAAACAAGTGTGATTCTAAAAGTATTCCTTACATATGTATATACATACATACATATATTATGTATGCTATAACTAAGTATGTATAACAATGTGTTCCATCTTTGTCTCGGAAACCGACATAGTTGTGAGTTGCAATATACTTATCAGACAATCATAATTTTAATTTAAAATTAAGCTGTAAAAATCTGTATATATAAAATAAAGCCCATTTAGTTAAACCATTTATAACTCACTAACGGCTGCACTGATTTTATGATATTTGATGTGTGTCCGCTCCGAATAGCAGAATATTATTATTAAAAAAAAAAACGAAAAAATCATAAAAACATTTATGAAGCAAAATCCCCTTTTACATTTTGTATAAAAAGGCTTTTTGTGACGATATTTCGTGATCGAACATGGCGAAAGCGGGGTAAACGATGAATGGTTAGGGCGGAACTGCCTACTAAATGCATGTTTTAATGTTTATACTGAATTAAAGAAACGTTCTAAACAGGGCGGCAACACAGAAAGGAGAATTCTACTTAAGGTGTTCTTACACGATATGTATTTGCATCTGTAAATGTGACTTTTCCAATAAATATGCGATTGCGTACGGCTGACTAAACTCTATCTGTGTGTCAGATGAAAATAGAAACATTTCTATTTCGTATGTACGTGCATCTGCTTTGTACAGAAACAAATCTAATTTGCCTTTACACGATATGTTGGCATTTCCATATGTAAAAAGTGGCATGTTCACGTGCAAATACATATCGTGTTCGAGTTCATTTGCCGTGAGAAGGGTGGGCTACCGTGCGCGCTCGGTACTCATCTTTTCGGAGTTGACGTCGGTCAACTACCAAACTGCTACGGCCAAGGATTGCGCGCACGGCCGTCGTAATGCTTGAAATACAATACCGGCGAACGGCAGACTTCGCCGAATTGGGCGATGCTGTCGTTCACCGTTCGCCCAACTATTTCGCCTACTTAAACAGAATTAGAGCGGCAGCGAAAACAGCTGATCCCATTTGGTCGCCTTTATAATTTGGGTGACCATATTTAGAAAAAACTAAACCATATTTAGAAATGAGGAAATGATAACAAATATAAATGTAAAACAAAGAAAGATTATTATAAATAATTTGTTTCAAGCCAGATTTAACGAATCTACAACTATATTTTTCAAACAACAAAAAAAAAAAATCGTGTTTAGGTTGTTTTCTTTTTAAACTTTGAAAGCACAAAACAAATACGGCCACCTTTGGCACGCACAGCTGTCATCGCCCAGCAGAGCGATAGAAATAAATCTATCGCCATGAAACGCCGCCAAGCGAACTTCGCATTTCGCTTTGGCTGTGTTCAATTTCATATGCTTGCGGGTGTTCTAATTTTGACAGCGCGAATTTCGCTGTGGTGAGTTCGCCGTTCGCCGGCATTGTATTTCAGCTATAATGTGTTTAAACGGCGGCTTAAACAAATATAATTAACTGGTAAATATTTGATACAAATTGCGATATGGGTAAGGTAGGGTAAGGTACTTTTATTATACAAACTGCATGAAAGTATTCACAAATCATTTTGCAAAAAAAATGCATTTATTTTACATTGATTAATATGGTTATGCCATGTACGAGTATGGACTTGTACATACATGGCGTATGAGTAACGGGGAATTGGGAGGAATACTCAGCGCTAGTCTAAAGGGGTGTTTTCAGCTCTCAAGAAAAACGAGAAATTCATATGTATAAAAGGACGCACAAGAAATGGAAAAGAAATTTTTCTTAAGAAAAAAATTTTAGAATATTCATTTCTTCAAAAAAATTTACAGCACAAGCAAAGTACTTTTACAACCAACAGAAATCGTCGCTGAAATAAAGAAACAGTGTTAATGCCATATACACTATTATTCGATAATCGTACTATTGGATAGACAATCCTTTATTCTATTAGAAAAATCTTCAGTTTTCTTAAATATCTTTGTGGATCACGAACTTATTCGCGAAAAACGAAATTTTATAATAACAGTGTAGGTACTAGCATTGTTTACAAATGGAATATTATTAAGAAAATCCCAAAGTAATTCTTGTAATATTAAAATAACGTTAGAGTATTTTACTTCATTATATTGCTGCTAACTTTCACAGGCAGCTTCAAAATGTGAATAATAAAATAATGTAATATCGACATACACCAACTAATTTTTCTGAGTTTGCAATCAATATAAAATATTGTACAATGATTTCATATGAAAATGTTCAATGATAAAATAGTGTATAACGTCGTTTAAAGTACAAAACCGCGTATCGTGATTCTGCAAAACCGCGTAACTGACAATGGCTGCCAAAAATTGGATTTGCTCACATAAGCTCTTGGCTCAATCCTTATCCATTCGTCCTGAAATATACTAGGCATATATGCAATTATAAAAAAGAGAACCATTTTGAAATTTGAGTGTTTTTACACTCTAGAAAATTATTACTACAACTTCGCATACGTGGTTTTGCATTTTGCTGATACGCGGTTTTGCATTTTGTTGATACGCGATTTTGCACTTTAAACGACGATAAGCATATGCTTTCCCAATTGCACTGAGCGCTGGCCAAAAGCCTCTGGGACTTATCCTGGATTCCAACCTACTGTGGAGGACCCATGTAGAAGCGGCCACAAACAGGGATACGAGTGAGCCGATGGTGTGTAAACGCCAATAGATAAATCCTGCGGTCAACCGAATAAGCTGCATAGAGGACTCGCCTTAACCTTGCTAGAGGGATTTGATAAAGGTAAGGCTTTGTTATCCAGGAACAGGGACAAGCTGCGCTCCCAGCTCCCTCTAGTTCTGGTCCCCAGGGACGACATGCATAAAGTAGTAGTTTTCTAAAGATACTATTTGGTTGAAACACACTGAAATACTCTATCATGGACCGGCACGTGCAGCCGTGCACAATAAGATACAGATACCTATAAAGCTGTTGCAATACTCCTGATATAATTTTGGTATCGATACTTTTGTTTCGATACTGGGTAAACCGGTATTCGATACTAGGGTGGCGATACTATTGATACCCATGTATGGGTATTTTCTTTCGATACCGCTTAGTGTATCATAATAACGTCAATATCAATATCAACTTCACATAAGCCATATTGTTCCTAGAATTATATTTAACTATATTTCCTCCAACACGATAAAGGGAGCGCTCAGGAAGGAAAACTCCAACCCAAGGCCGAGGCAACGCAATGAGCGGCAAAGCGGAGAGCGGCTTAAAATTAAAACATATGAAATGCAATTGGGCGGCGCTGGGTTGGGAACTGCATTGGCGTAATACCATGGGACTTCGTCAATCCAAAAGCTTAATCGGAGGATACAATCTGAAAATATACAGGATACTCACAGGTCTCCCTAAGGAGAAACTAAGAATCATTACAAGTATTTTGACGAGTTATTCTAGGTTAAGGACGCACTTGTAGCATTTTAGGATTTCGAGTGTGAGGCGGTGGCGCACAGTGGTTCGGATCGCAAATCTAGCTGGACGAAACTATTTAAACAAATACTAGTTGATGGATCTTTACACCACTTCTTACCTAGGGGATTTTTGAGTCGCTGATTACGAATCTGAAGTCACTTATCAAAAATTCAAAACGGCGGATCCAATATGGCGGACGAAAATTTAAAAAAATCGGTAGATTTCTATGAAACTGGGTATCTGGGAGTTTTCTGGGTCGCTGATTACATATCTAAAGTCATTTACCAAAAATTTAAAATGGCGGATCCAATATGGCGGATGAAAATTAAAAAAAATTGGTAGATTTCTATGTAACTGGGTACTATTTTTTTAACTCTTTCATAACCAAAGGTTTTACAACTCCAAGTATTTTTCTGTTTTAACACACAACCCCCCCCCCCCCCCCCCCCTCTTCCCCGTGGATCCGCCACTGATCTTATATTTATATTCAGATACATTCCGGTTAATAATTACTTTTGAATTTTGAGATTTGACATACTGTCACTAAAATGTAAATATCTAAGCCAATTGGTTAGACTTGGTTATCGAACTTACCCTCTGCATTTGCGAAGGTGTAAAGAATAATATGCAAGTGGTTTTATAACGGCCCACGGTGGGCAGGAAGCAGTTGATATTTTTAGGTCAAGAATCCGTTTGAATTGAAATCCTAGCTGCTCCTGTTTTAAAGATATCCACATTTTACATAGTTATGATAGGACCGACTTTTGCGAAAGAGAAAAACATCCTTGTGCATTAAATATTCAACAATGTATGTGTGAGTAAATGTGTGTATATATGTTATGTGAAAATATAAGTTTATGCAAGTTTTTAGCCGGTTTCAATCGTTTCCAAGGCGCACCACGTGGAGGCAACTTACTTTGTTGCACCTCTTTGTTCTTTTTTTGGTTTTATTTTTTTATATTTTTTTCTTGCTTTATTTTTTTTTATATTTGTTTTTTGTTTCCTTTTATTTTTTTGTTAGCTTACCATATAACATAGTCACACATTTTAGTATTTAAATATTTTATTATTTAATTAAGTTTTCATATATGCTGGAATGAAAGTGTCATTACAGTTTTCTTCAGGCGACTCACAAAAGTTGGTTCATCAATCATATTTATTTTGAATCTATCCCAGAATTTAATGAATTCCCTATAAACTGACTCCCCGGCCTGCTCGGACCATAATCCTAAACCATCGTTATTCAAGAATGAAATAGATTGCTTTAAATGTTCAAGGATAATATGGATTTTGACAGTTTGAGAAATTCCAGTACTTTTCAAAACTTTTCGTTAAGATTTTTATCAAAATTACTAAGATCCGCTTGATTTTCGGAAAAGCATGTATTCACGTTTTTATTCATGGCTTTGAACGAGGCAATATATTTGGTATTGTTTTTACTGAGAGTTTCTTCCATACAAACTATGTTCGATATTTTTTTGTATGTGGAAGACACTGTCAGCAAAAAATAAAAAATTGCAAAAAATCAACGAAATTTTCTGGTAACTTCAGACTTGCACTTTATTAATTGGCTCAAAATCTACATTTTTAAAATTTTTCTAAAAGATCTGATTAGAAATTGTGATCAGATGAAAGTGTCTCCGAACCAATAATTTTGTACGGCACGGTACTTATAAATAATCTAGGTTTCACGAAAGAAAAAAAATTAAATACAAGGTAACATTAAAATATCAGTCATTTCTTTCGTTGCTGTGAGTTTGTTTCAAAACTTCTGGCTTT